TACATGTGGGTCCAATGTGGGGCCCATTTCATTGTGAGGAACCTGTACAATACCTGGTAGAACTACCCTGGCAGACCAGCATTTTCCTTGTTACAATTAATAAAGTTGATGTTTAATTCCGAATTTCGTCCCACAAAAAATAATTACATATTGTCAATTTTTATCCGAAATTTAATTTCAATCTAAATTAATGCGGTGACCAATTATCAAAATAGGAGTTTATGTTTTTACTAAATTACACCGAGTTAACCTAATTAATCTCCAACTTTTGTGAAGATTTATGGGATTAAGTGGTTAGTATTTTGAATTCAACAAGGTTAATTCAAAGTCATTTATTTAACCCCCTTTTTATTATGTATTAACAATCCAATTAACTAATTTTAGCTAATAGTCTCTCTCAAGCAAAATTAACCCTATTCACATACTCGAATTTATTATATTTCTATGTAATTTTATACACATATAAATGCATTATTTCAACTCAAGATTGCATAGACTATCATTACAACAAAAATAACTTTTTGCATCATGTAAAATGCAACATTCGTTAATTAGGTATTGCCAAAGGGATCGATTGCAACATTTTAATAAGTGCATATTGACATTGATTAACATAATTGTGATTTGGTAACATTTTAAATACATGTTGCTAGTGCTTTCTGTTGTAAAGTTTCTAAATTGTTACAAGAAGTTTACATATTTCTTGTTTTTTGCAATATTCAATAAAAGTTGTTAAAATCCCATGTTCTAACAACATTCGTTGCATCTTGCTGAACAACTAATATGTAGCTCTTTTGCAACGTTTGCTAACTGTTGCGAAAACATACTCTTTGGCAGCATTCGATGCCCGTTGTTAAAACCTTTTGCAATAATCACATTTTGTAACGTTTGATACATGTTGCTGAAACTATTAATGCATGACTTTTGCAACACTTATTCACTGTTGCGAAAACATTCTCTATCGGAACATCGTTGTCTGTTAAAAATCTCTTAATGAAAATTTTCTTCCATAACGTTCATTGGCTATTGCGATAAAAACGCCACCCAAATTTAATTTCAACCTAACTTAATTAATTTAAAAGATTAAAAAAGTATTAATTTTATAAAAAATCAAACACTAAAATTCAATTTCATTATTGTAGCCTTTGACATTCACGCCTCTCGCCTCTTTTAATCCTCACGCCTATCAGAGAAGACGAAGTTACTGCCATGGTTGAATCCGTTTTCAAGGATTGTAGTGCTTTTGGTATGAAGATTTCACTTATGAAACTTGCTTTTCTTTTTATTTATCTAATGTTTATGTCAATAAATTTGTCTACTATAATCCATTAATCTACCAACTCACTGTAACATTCTTCACTTTCTTCTTCTTCATGGGTCATTCAAAATACTAATGATGACGTTCTTCGAAAACCTTTTGCAACGGTTTTTGAACATTGCCGTATCCTTTTGCTCTATGGCAACATCAAAGCGAAACGTCTTTTTTTGTTTGTTGCGAAGGACTATTTTTGTTGTAGAGTATAAGGGTATATCTCAATCCCTTATAAAAATCTATGTCAACTATTGCACGAGTTAGACAAATATTTCCTTTCAATCTTAAAATTGTCCTTGTATCAAGTAATTATTGTACCACCAATTGAATGTCAATAAAAGAGACAATAAACAATTAACATATAATCAAAGTTGTATGAAATCTTTTGAATTAAATAAACATTAAACATAAGCTACATCCTTCATCCTAGCAACCTAGTCCCTCATAATTATGGAATTAAACAATAAAAGGATTGAAAACATCATCAGGTTCAATACAATAAACGAAGAAAATAATTCAAACAATTGTTGATCTTTGGCATCCAAATCCCAACAATGAATCTTTAAACTCCTCTTGAATGATTGTAGAGATCCTTGTAAAGTTATGAATACAAACCTTCAAATCCAAATTTAGGGCTACAATTCTTGAGAATATGAATGAATTTGTGTAGTTTGCCTCAAGAATGTGTCCATATATATCAGCCTCTTTCTTCGTTTGAAAGAAAGATTTTTATATATAAACCCCTATTTATGTATAAATAGTGCCCAAGATAATAAGAACCAAAATATTAGTTAAATTATGATATTCAAAATTGCTGAAAATTAAACTTTCACTTGTACAATTTATTCTTTGTTTCCTCTTACCTGTTCACGTTGAGTCCTTAGCAATTGGGGTCCTTTAACTTCCAAAAGTGAATCCTTGGTCCCCAACATCTCACGGGGGTTGTAACCACATTTATGTGGCATTAATGTGACATTAAATGATAAGTAAAATTAAATAACTTATCTAATTTCATCATTCATTTAGCCTATTACTTAACATCACATAGATTGGAGATATAACTCCAATAAGGCTAAATAGCATTACTCTTATATTTATGAAGCTCTATATTTTTAAATAAAAAAAAATGAGAGAGAGAGAGAAACTATAATTTAATTTTGAGACAGAAAGTGAGAAAGACTAAAAAATTAAATTTGGAAAAATGTAAGAGAAAAACAAAGTAATATAAAATTTGATATGAATGATGTGTTGTTATTTAATGACTAGTTTGAAAAATGAAAAACAAATACTAACTGGATGTAATTTTGATAAAAATTACCACATCATCAATTAAATAGAAGATAGTATACTACTACTGTGTTAATATAGAATCGTTGAATTAAGTTTCACCACCACTCATTCAACATGTTTTAGGTTATGAGAAAAAAATGAACCTATTGGAGGACGTGTTGAAGGTAATACTTACATATGACAGATTGGCTTGGTCAACCTTCTAATTTCGAGTTCAAACTATAAAGTCTGTAATTTCTCTCACGAGCTAATCTGCAACATTAAGATATTGCATTGCAAATGAATTATGAATATTACATACAAAGCATACGTATCAATTAATTGTGTAAAGAACTAAACTTCCAAAGTATACAGGAAAGATACTGCAATAGTTGACTTCATTGCTTTTAAGAACTGTACACATAATATACGCAAAGAGAAGCTTGTACGAGAAAAATGGCCTTGAAATTGATTCACTGTCACTTAAACTATGCTTCTTCTTTGGTGAGAGCATGATTAGACATGAAATGATTTGCCTTTTCACTTAAAATAAATTATCGGTTTTCATGCAGAATCTTCATAATTTGGGAGGTGCGAGACGTTGCATGTTGAGTTATTCTTACTTTAATTACAACATATGGATTTTGAAGGGACAAACAATGCATAAAGTTGTCATGTACGAATCCATAAAGAGGATAAAATTATATATGATTTTCATGCTTTGAAACTGATTAGTACTCAGGTAGGGCAGCATCATAGGTAATGGGAATGAAAATTTCAATCACCCCTTGCAACTAGGATGATTTTCTTCTGCTCATAAATGAATTTTTGACACGTGTCTTATAAGCTTTTTTTATGTTGTCGTTCCATTTAAAAGCTACAAATGTTATTAGTCCCTAATTGAGTTCTATTTTATTTAAAATATATATTTTTCTCTTTTTTTCTTAATCACATATTTTTCAATAAAATAATATTACACATAAAGCCAAATTCTTTTCCTTATTTTTTAAATACACATTCTTATGAAAATCACTATTCCAAAATACATTTTTTCCTAAATTACATAGTTTAGACGTTAAGGAAAAAAAAATCAATTGGAGTATGGGTCAAGAAATTAATAAAAGTGGCCTTACTCTAAACCCACACGATTATCCATTCAATAATAAAACTTCGAAATGAAGCCATTACAGTAAGAAGCATTTGATTCTCCTATAACTTTAAATGTTTTCATCTTGTCATGAATATGAAATTATGTGCCTTACTATATTCAAATGAAAAGGTGTGCGATATTCCCTAAACAAAGCCACTATTCAAAGGAACCAACCATTTTCTTGTTTTTATTTCTTATCTAAGGCAGCTCGAGTTTATTGATATTTTTTTTGTCAGTAAGATTCCAATGTGTGTGTATATATTCCATCTTAAAAAGAATATATATACTATATTAAAGAACATTCCAATGTGTACATATTCCATCTTAAAAAGAATATATATACTATATTAAAGAACATTCCAATGTGTACATATTCCATCTTAAAAAGAATATATATACTATATTAAAGAACATTCCAATGTGTACATATTCCATCTTAAAAAAAATTTACGTGGTAAACAGCAAAATTGGTGAAAAATCAAGAATTGTGTAAAAACTTTGTACAATTATATATAATTTCTCACCCAACAAAATCCCTAATCACCCCCCAAATTATTAATAGGTGATATGAAGAATCTCCACATCTTGCATTTAAGATAACCCATAGCCGTCTCAACGATTTGGGATAAAGAAAATATTAACGGGAATTCGCTATTCATAGAGACACAAAAGGATAACCTTTTGATTTCTATTTGATGTTGTTTTATAACAACCTCAATACAAGAAGGAAACTAGAAATCATAACCTTTGTGTAATAGACAAATATATTTCTATTTTTTTTGGATTATACCAAGTTAAAATCTTAACATTACCACATTGATTTTGAAATGTTTAAGGTCTTCAAATAGGAATTCGTCTATATCTCCTCCAAATTGAATAATGTGCCTCCACCATAGTCTCGTCCACCCTCTCGATCACGTAATTTGAGAATTTTAAAGAAGTACCACACTCCCCCATGACGAGTATATACACTTAAATTAACTAAATTCTTTTATTATGTCCAAAATGTATTGGCAAGTTCTGAGTCCAAAATGTTGTTTAATTGAGTTTTAATTAGGGTTAAATTGTCAGGGATTGGGAATGTCTTTGGAAGGAATCTATGAAAGAGACCCACTGGGAGACACATGGAGCTCGAGCAATTGTGATATTTGAGTAAAATATGGTTTGCAGTTTTCAACCTTTTTACAATTTCCAAATAAACCCTAACTCTACATATTATAAATATCCAAGACAAATCCCTAGAGTATAAAACATTTATTCATTCAAGAGAATACAATATTGAAGATAATTACTCATCCAAAATTCTCTTGCCTCAATCACATGATTGAAACATTGAAAATCTAAAAGATCAAAACACCAAATAAATCTTTACCAAATATCTTTCAAAGTTCAGAAGATCTAAAGAGGTGACTAGAGTTTCAATTCGTGAAGAACAAGTTCGTTCTTGGTGATCCACAAAAAGAAAAGAAGTCCAGAGGTTCTTGAGCTGGTGTTCAAGCCCACAATCGAGAGGATCTTCAGTGATTACAGGTTGGGGTTCAGAGTCTACTAAAGTTTAATTATGCTTGGAACAAATCTGTAAGTTTAATATTTTTAGTAGATTATTACTGGCAAGTTTGTCCGGAGATTTTCTCTTGAAGAGTTCTTTAAGGATTTTTTCTTCGTAAATAAATCTTGGTGTTGTTTACTTTTACGCATTTACTTTCTTGCTTGTGTGATTGTCCTACTATAAACTGTTTACAAATCATCTAAATGTAATAATCTGTGACTTGTTGTAATTACTGGATATTAAATTTTAAATTCAACATGTTACACCTATTCACCATCCTCCAGGTGTAAGCTATGTCAAACCTCGCTATTTTAATTGGTATCAGAGCCTTATTTTCTTTCTTGAACTAGCTTTATGTAGATGAGTCAACCACTATTTGTTTCTCTTTACTTTGATGGAAGTAATTATGCTTACTAGAATATTAAGATGAGAGCCTTTTGAAATTTATGGATGAGAGAGATTGGGTGAGTGTAGAGAAAGGTCGAACATCATTTACATTTGTTAGTTTTGTTACACCTACATATGTTTTCACTTATATTAAGGATGAATTAGTTGAGTGTAACTAAAATAGTAAAGCAGTTCATGCCATTTTTATGACTATATCATCTGAAGAGTTTAAACCAGTGCATATATGTGAGATTGTTATAGAAGTTTGTGATATTTTAGAAACCACCATGAGGGAACTAAGATTGTGAAAAAATCTAAGTTGCATATGTAGATCACTATGTTTGAGGAAATAAGGATGAAAGATCATGAATCCTATGATGAATTCTATGCTAAATTGAATGACATAGTGAATTTTAGTTTCAACCTCGGCGAACGAATTCTTGAGACCAAAATTGTGATAAACATTCTAAGATCTCTATTTGAGAGGTTTAATCTAAGGTCACTATTATTGACGAAAGCAAAGACTTAGATACAGTTAAGATACAAAAACTTGTTGGATTACTCCGAAACTATGACCTAACCATATCTCACTTGAAGAAAATAAGTATATTGCCTTAAATATTGTTAAGGAAGTGACATGTTAAAAGATGAGGATGTTGCTTATTTTGTTAAAAAATTTAAGAAATTTTGGGCAAAATAATAAGAGACCCTAGGAAAAATACAAGAGTAGCTCTAGTAAATTCAGGAAAGAAAGGAAAGAAGAAAGATACTGGGATGTCGGGAAAAATTTCTTAACGTGTCAAACGTCATGAGTGATAGGAATTTGGTCACATTATAGTTGAGTGACTTAGTAATAAGTGGACCTTAGGTAAGGCTATTAATGTGTCTCTCACTAATGATGAGTCTAACTTAGGTAATCAAAGTGATTCTCCCAGTTCTGAGGAGTGTTCGAACTATATGACTTTTATAACTGTGGTTAAGAGTGAATCTAAAAAGGAAAGTGAGAATGTTGAGAATTTAGAACAGAATAACTCTTTAGATGAANTATACTTATCATCAACTATCATTAATTGTCAAGCAGCAAGCTCGTATGATAGTCGACATTCCATTACTTCAATCCATATCTAACTGGCTTACAATGGATGTTGCTACACTTCAGAGGATGTTCAATCGATGACATATCACTGGGAGAGTGATCTAACATAGATGATGCTTTGAGTCAGAGTAGATTATTGGGTATCCTTTTGTTATTCATAACAAAAAAGGAGATAAGAGTATTTTGATTCGGGAGTAGTAGTAATAGTACTAATATTTATTTGTATTTTAAAATTTGGCTAGCAAACATTGCATTTTGATGTTTTGTAATATTGATATTAGGTTTGGTGTTTTGTATAATATTGATATTATATCTTGATGTTGCTAGCTTGGTATATGTTAAGCGAAATGCTATCTCAATCGATGCATGCTAACTTTTTATATGTTTTCACGTACTTTCACACTTGGCATTTGAGTTTATGTATTTCAAAAAACATGTTGTACAAAACAATGAATATGGTGTTGTGATTCTAGGTTTAGTTTTGATAGGAGTAAGATTTTGTTTGTTGTGTACTCGAAATAAATGATTTTGTCATGAAATGTCAAATGGAGAGTTTGTCAGGTCCCAAATATATTAGCAATTTTCATGTCCAAAATGTTAATTAATTGAATAAGTTTCAGGGATTCAGAGGGTATTTTGAAGGAATCAAAGTCAACTCGAGAAGATCAAGAAAAAGGAAAATCGCTCATCGACTGCCAGCAGACTGCTTGAGCGATTTTAATAGAAAGAGACCGCCCGCTAGGAGCCAAATAGGCACATGAACGACAGTGATATCTAGGTAAAATCTGGTTCGCAATTTTGTCTTTTTACAATCCCAAATAAACACTAACTCTACATATTATATATACCTAAGCCAAAACTCATCCCTATTAAATGTTACGCCTATTCATTCAAGATAACACAATATTGAAGATCAATTACTCATTACAAAATTCTCTTGCCTCAACTATAAGATTAAAACATCGAAAATCCAAATGATCAAAGCACCAAATAAACCTCTACAAAATATCTTTCAGAGTCCAAAGAGGTGTCTGGAGTTTCAATTCATGAAGAATGCATTCGCTTTTGGTGATCTACCAGGAGAAAGTAAGTCCAAAGGTTCTAGAGCTGGTGCTTGAGCGCACAACCTAGGAGTTCGCCGGTGATTATACGTTGGGGTAAGAGTCTATTAATGTTTAGTTGTGTATGGACCAATCCTGTAAGTTTAATATTTCCACTGGATTATTTACCGTTCGAAGGTTTTTTCTTTTGAAAAGTTTTTCAAGGGTTTTTCCTTCGTAAACAAATCTTGGTGTTATTTATGTTTACGAATTTACTTTTTCGCTTGTGTGATTGACGTATTATGAACTACTTACAAATCATCTAAATTTAATAACTTGTAACTTGTTGCAAGTTATTGGTTGTTAAATTTTAACTCCGCATATTATACCTATTCACCTCCTCTAGGTGTTAGTTGGGTCAAACCTCAATATTTCATCTAAAAATCTTGCTTAAAAATCATCTGCAATTTTCATGTCCTGTCTTTCTCAGGAGCTTACTAGCCATTGAAATGAATTTCACCACACACTTATCATCAATGCCAAACCAATTCCCATATGCAAAATTTTAGACACGATAACAATGACACTTCCTCTATTAAGAAAACTTATTGGCCATGTCATGATAATAAACCTATTCTCTAAGGATATCCTTGTATTTCATTGACAAAAGAGACATACTGTTAGCTACAATGGATATTTCCATATACTAATTTTGAGATATTAGCAGAACATGTTCCACTATTTGGATAATTTTTCATAGGATTATGCTGCTTGTACATAAAAATGGTACATAAGAGATTACATAAAATGGTGTAAAGTAAAAAGATTGGATGCAAAATGTTGATTGTGTTTTAAATTGAAAAATGATAGAATAACATGTAATATTATGTAATTCATTAGGTAAAGCTTAATGTACATGTAGTAAGGTTATTTTTCATAAAGTGCCCAAATTGTCCGCATCTGTCAAAAATAGGGATTAATACATTTTTTTGTTAAATTCCTTGTGCAATCGGGACTAAATCAAAAAGTATTGTATTATATTTGCTACAAACTAGTGTTGATTCATTCATCAAATTTTCCAACACCACTCAACATCTCTTCTATGCTCCAACACTGAGCGATTTAACTCTTTGATTCTATTTGTTGGAAATTGAAACAAATTTCTTGCTTTATCCATGGAATCTACGTTTAAAGAAATATGAAAACCCAGAAAATAAAATGTAGATGGAGGACAGCAACACATATTTACACGGAAAATCTCAAAATTGGAGAAAAATCATGAGTTGGCAAAGTGATCTTTCCTTGTATCAAAAATTGTATAATCATAGAGAATATTTGACACACCTCAAACCATAGCAAACCCTAAAATTTTTGTAACAGGTGAGACTACAAAGAATTCCCAAGTCTCAACTCTAAAATAGCCCATAACTATCTCATAAATTTGAATACCCCTGCATGTATAGGGATACAAAAGAAAGAGTCTTTTGATTTTGTTTGACTTAAGAGTAATAACTGTCATATATTCGTGGTATAAATATAAAATGTGAAATAAATAATCAAATTAGATAAAGTGCCAAAGTGGTGGGAAATGTGACATTTGTGTGGGACGTCAGGGGTTCGAGTCACTCCCCACACAGATATTAAAATGTCTTGATTGGGGCCTTGGGCTTCCTTGACTAAAATAAATATTTTTTTTCTTTATTATTTAATGGGTAAAACTAGCCAGTATTTTCTGACTGTTTGTTTTTGTAACCCCACTAACAGCCATTAAAACACCCACTATTCAGTCATTAAAATTCTGTATTAACATGGTGAAGACTGTTACTACCATCTTGCCTATATAAACTCATACCTCGTTTTGGAAAAAACACACACAAAAAGACAATAGAAAAATCATCTTGCATCAACCCTCCTTTCCACATTCTGAATTTCTTATATTCGAGTTTTATATTTATTCTGGAGTACAATTCAGAGTTCTAGAAAAACCATTCGTGATTGTTGCACAAATGGTTTATGATCATTGTATCCTGGGAGTGATTGTCGCAGCAATTATTAACGGGCAATTTCACTTTAGGACATCGTACTGTCACGAGACTCGATCGGACGATAAGTTTTATATTTTCGCATTATATTGTTCAGATCACTACTGCAACTAATTAATTTATTTTTCCAACAATAACAACCCCAAAATAAATAGGAAACTGAATATCGTATTGCGCGTGGGATGCACAAATACAATTCTATTTTAAATGCAAAGTGTCAAGTCAAAATTCCAACATGGACAAAGCATGGATATTGAATCATAACAATGGAAGCATTGTTTCTGATCTCTATGCATTTCACCCTTCAACCGAAAATTCCTCCTCGTGCACTCTAGCTTGATGGTTTCAGGTGTCTGCCTAGGGTTATCTCTTAGATACGACAATCATCTTAGAAAGGTACTGTTTATGCCAACTATATTCAGAGAACCAAATATTAGATTCGAATTTTGCAATTCCAACTTTAAATTGTTCCTTAACTTTTGGTCTTTTATATAAAGCTTAGAATCTAGCAAGTAAAATTCCTTTTCAGTCAAGATCTTCTTAAAAGCTTCATACAAGCTGCCAATAGCTATGATAGTGCATGAATTTTAAAGTGCTATTTGTTTAGAAATGAGATAATAACTCCTTTATTTTCGGGATATTTAATTTAACATTTGAATACAAAGAAGTAAAATTATTAGAAAAATTATTTTCAAATGTCTTTTTTCGTATGAATTTTTCTAATTGTACAATCGAAATTGACAACGTCCTCACAGGAGGGGGGCTCACAATTTTTTTATTCATCGTGGGTCCCCCTTCCATGCGTATGATTGTCAACTCCGATTGTACATATAACACTTTCCTTTTCGTATAGGCCTTATAACGACACTGTCCATCCTAATTCTTCCTTCGATACTTACCAATAAAATTTAATTCAAGTAAAGATTCACGCCACTAGATGGTGGAGCACTACAATAAAAAAGTTGACAGACAATTTATCAATTGTAAACGACAGTAAATAATCGTCGTCTAGTCATACATTGTAAAAGATGCTTCATGAAGACAACTAAAAATGTTGTCCTTTCTGTTAATATACCACAGTTTTAACTCAAGAACCATGGTGATTAATGCTAAAACCCGTTGTTTTAGACAATGGTGTTTCACATTTGGTCGTTTTGGCATAATACTCCTACGCATATTTAAACAAATAGTTGTTTCTATGATCAAGTATCAATAATTTTTGCTAAGAACTCCATTGTCTATTATATATTACAACAGTTACCTGTTATAATTTTTGCTAAAAACTCATAATTTACTTGTAAAACTGTTGTACTTGTTTTAAGTAGACAATAGTCGTATATAAAAGCGTTATATTAGAGTAATAATGACAATGTTGCACTCAAATGGCATTTTCTATTTTGTTGAGTAAAGCTTGCATCATTGCAACAATATTTTACCTTTTAAGTTATACAATTTCACAAGTGCAGTGCAAACAACTTCGTAAATGCAACATATCGAGGACATAGATCGATGTTTCCTTGCATCCTCAAGTAATTATTGAATACATTTAATTATCAACGAAACTTTCATAGGTAGACTGTACCATATGTATGGGTTCTTCAGCAAAATCATTTGAAATATTTTCTCCACTTTGACCACTAACACACATTGACGCCGATCCTACTAAAGATCTAATACTTATCGAGTTATCCACCAATCATTCTTCTTCGTGCCAAATAAATGCTCATCTACAATCTGAGATTACTACATTTTACACATGTTATCGTATTAAGTCGGGATCATTAGCATCCTGTACCGCAAACTTACATGACATGTATAGTATGCTATGGATTGCATATCTAATATGAAAGAACATGAACTAAGCGAAAATGGAGGACCCACGGGAAGACAAACCTTGCAAGATGGCAGGACATTAGACTCCAAGTAAACCTACGAAAACCCCAACAAACTTGAGCAGACCAACGCCTGATCCATATGAAGATGAACACACGGCAAACACCTAAAAACCCCATTGAAAGACGAACCTTACAAGACGGTAGGACAATAGATTCGAAGCATACCAACACAATCACAAACCCACAACCGACCCACGACAACTTCTTACTTCTTAGCCTTGATGGGACTTGGGAGGGTTACTTGAAATTGTCAGAAGGGAAATTTCGGTCTTCTTTGTCTTGAATTTGTGAGAGGGAAACGATGAAATCGTTGAGAAGGAAAATAAAATGAAAATTTGAGGGGGAATTGTGGGAGGGAATACATGAAATGGGAATTTTATGTGTTACAACGATTTCTAATATATTTTCTAACGCTTTAATAAAAGGACCATGTTAGATGTACCTAATTTTTTTTTACCTAATGCTTTAATACACTCGCAATAGGGATGTGAGGACCACATGTTGAGATTATTTTATTCACGTGGGGTCCACGTGCTTGTGAGAATAGGTAAACTAAATTATGTATACTTAAAATTATCCTTAAAAAAAAATCGTGGTCAAAGCAAGCTATCAACTAGGGAGTACCTATTCATATTTTAATACGATTTTTTAAATAAATGTTAACGATTAGTTTCCTAAATGCGGAAAACATTTTTTAATTTATTCTGGCATTGTTATTGTGTTGTCTTTTACAAGTTTTTAGTAGTGGAAATGCAATAGCATGAATGTCATGTATGGTACATTGAATTGAACAAAACTCAACATGACAATTAAATTTTTTGCTTCGTTATATCTCTTTTTTAATCATGTCGTGTTCAATCTAGTCAAAATAATGGTCTAAACACAACTAACAAGATAAGTGATAAAATTGCAACATTCATTTCTTTAATATGGCTCAATTTTATCGAACAAGCTGTTAATATTTTATAATCTTTTTACTAATATTTGGCATGTATGGTTGAATACTATAAATTATAGAATAAATTTTATTTTTCTTCTTTCAGTAACGTCGAATATTAAGATTCAATCTAGCTTAGTCGTCATTTGACACCAGCTAAGGCATGAAAATACACAAATGGAAGAAAAGAACATAGTCGTATTGGCGGGGCCTCATGTCAGTGGTATAAAGCAAGGTGTTTTCCCCCACGTCACGTTCGAAACCACCTACTCTCTCTCTCTCTCTCTCTAAGTTCGAGAAAGTAATAAAAATCACTCTATAAAGAAAACCAACAACCATAGC